GGCCTTTTCTGATGAAGGGTCTAGGCCCGAAACGTCAGCCTTTCTGCTCCTATGATGCTGCTTGGCCTGCTGTGTTCATCCAGCCCTGCACCTTGTTGTCTCTGGTTAAAAAGGCATTTGGCATGCTTGCCTTCGTTGCTCAGTCCTTTGAGTACAGGAATTGGGAAGTCATGTTGCGGTTGTACAGGACATTGGTGAGTCCTCTTCTGGAATGATGTTCACTTCTGGTCGTCCAGTTATTGGAAGGATATTATCAAACTAGAGAGCGTTCAGAAGAGATCTATCAGGATATTGCCTATATGGAAGGTTTGAGTTATAAAGAAAGGCTGGATACGCTGGGACTTTTTTCACTGGAGTGTAGGAGGTTGAGAGGCGACCTGATAGAAATTTATAAAGTAGTGAGGGGTATAGATAGAGTTGATGGTAGTTGTTATTTTCCCTCGGATCAGGGATTTCAAGACTTGGGGACACATTGCTAAGGTGAGAGGAGTGAGATTTAAAAAAGACGTGGTGGTAGTTTTTTTTACACAGCGTGACTCGCGTGTGGAATGATCTTCCTGAGGAAGTGGTGGATGCGGGTACAATTACAACATTTAAAAGACATTTGGATAAAGTACATGAATAGGAAAGGTTTGGAGGGAAATGGGCCAGGAGCCGGCAGGTGGGACTAGTTCAGTTTGGGATTATGAGATACCAAGGTGTAGAGCTGGATGAACACAGCAGGCCGAGGAGCAGGAAGGCTGATGTTTTGGGCCTAGACCCTTCTTCAGAAATGGGGGAGGGAAAGGAGGTTCTGAAATAAATAGGGAGAGAGGGGGAGGCGGATAGAAGATGGATAGAGGAGAAGATAGGTGGAGAGGAGACAGACCGGTCAAAGAGGCAGGGATGGAGCCAGCAAAGGTGAGTGTAGGTGGGGAGTTAGAGAGGAGATAGGTCAGTCCAGGGAGGACGGACAGGTCAAGGGGGTGGGATGAGGTTAGTAGGTAGGAGATGGGGGTGGGGCTTGAGGTGGGAGGAGGGGATAGGTGGGAGAAAGGACAGGTTAGGGAGGCGGGGACAAGCTGGGCTGGTTTTGGGATGCGGTAGGGGGAGGGGAGATTTTGAAGCTTGTGAAGTCCACATTGATACCATTGGGCTGCAGGGTTCCCAAGCGGAATATGAGGTGCTGTTCCTGTAACCTTCAGGTAGCATCATTGTGGCACTGCAGGAGGCCCAGGTGGACATGTCGTCTGAGGAATGGGAGGTGCAGTTGTTATGGTCCGCGACTGGGAGGTGCAGTTGTTTAGTGCGAACCGAGCGTAGGTGTTCTGCAGAGTGGTCCCCAAGCCTCATTTGGGATTATGTTTGGTGTGGACTGAGGGTCTGTTTCCACGCTGTATGACCCTATGACTCTGTAAATGGGTGATGTGATGCCAAGTGTGGAGCCAACAATGTATGGAGCAGCCTTTATACATACATGTTTCATAGCTACAGGGTGGCATAGGCAGCATCCCTGCCTGAGACTGAAAGGAAAAACTTGCTGCTTGATGTTCTTCACTGTTGACAAATATAACTTTTTTTGAAAAGAATTTATACATAGCGAATTTCTCTTATCACAACTTTGGTGCATAGTTTTACTGTGTTGACAAGGAGCTGAAGGTATTGAAACAACTGTTTTGTTTTTTTTGCAGAGCGTATTTGTTCCTTTATTGGAGTGCAAGGGATATTGGAAGAGGCAAACTGCAACTAATCAGATGGGATGATAGTGAGTCCGAAGTTGATGACTAATTGCTGGAGCAGTATCTGCACGGGCGAAAGAAGCATTTAATGTTAACCTTCACGATTCTGTGGACAATTACCTTAAATCTATCAGTCTTTGAGCCAGTACTGTTTTTTTTTTTGGTGAACCATTCACAGTCTAAGAATGGAATAAATGATTTCTGAGGAAATGGCAACTGTTCAAATTCATTATTTTCAAAAATACTGTATATTGTAGTGTATAAATTTCCCTGCTGTTTAAGACAACCTGTCTTTTGGATGCTAAGTGCATGTTTAAGACTGTACGTGTTGTGTAAGTTGACCTCTGTCAGCTAATAAATCTGTGGAGTTATACTCAGATGAGGAGTTTCTTTCAATTTTTCAATTCACAAATATAATGATTAGAGTTATGCTTGCTTAATGCACTTTCCCTCCAAACCTACAATCTGATGTTCACTGATAAATTTTTCTAGGTAGATCCTTTATCCATCTGAGTAACGCACCATCTTGTGCCCGATTCACCAACTGTTCCATACCACAAATCCTTTCCTTCTCCTCCACCTCAACCTTTTTTTTATACATCATTCCCATCCTCCTCTCTTTAATTTCTCATTATCACAAAGGCAGTCGTGTACTTTGATTGGGCATAAATGAGCAAGAGGGATTCAGATGAAGAATTGCCGTAAAGTGTAGGCATGGGGATTGGAATGAAATTGAAGGGAGTCTAGAAATAAAGTAGTAATTGGAGAAGATATGTGAGCTAAAAGTTGCCTTGGTTATGAAAGGAAGAAGGCATTGGTTGAGTTATAATAAATTGTAATATTATCGGCAGTTCTGCATGTTATGTTATTGTAAGAGTATTAACAAGTCATGCTGAGAGATTGGACATTTTCTGTACAAGAATTAAATGGAAAGCTTGAATTTTTAACATTTAGAGCATGAGTAAAACTAGGGACAGAGCATAATTTATTTTGAATTGTACAGCAAAACCTATTGCAATAGCTAGTTTAGATGTGGGCTATCCCTATTCATATTTCCTGAGGATTTCTTTCAGTAGATCATCAATAGGTTTTAATTTTAAATATTTTATTAAAAATGTCTCATTATACGAAACCTATTCTGTCTTTATATATTCCATTAAAATTACATGTTGTTCAGCAATTTATTTGCTTTATACAGAATTTGAAGCTTCAATTCATTTTCTTTAAGGTGTAATACGCGTTTGAGTTGAACCTACTGGATATTTCTGATAGAAGCTACGTGAGACCTGGGTGTGGCGTATTTTACAGTAGGTGAGTTGTTGAAACTAGGAAGACCCTTATTATTAAAACTTTAAAATCTGAACTTCAGTGATAGTAATATAGACTGCACACCAGAGATCATTTTTATTTTCTTCTTATGACCCCAGGTGATATTAGTACTAGACAAGTCAGAATGAATCTGGCTTTATAGATGATATTTCATATTTTTTTAACATGGTATTTCACTGAAACATACAAAACTTCAAGTTTTGTTTTAACAATGAAACAAGTTTATTCACAAAAGAAATAAAAATGAAATAAATCAAAACAAGCTATGTATATATGTATAACACAGTTGAACAATTTTCTAAAAAACAGCAAAACAAAATCCCATCTGTACCCCAGCTCCATCACTTCACAATTGGTACTGTTTCCTTCCCTATCAAATGTTAGACTTAGTTGCTTTCTTCTCAGTTTGGGTCCTTTGCACTGTGTGAGACATTTTCCCTTAATCCCTTTCACAGCTGAGAACTTAGTCTTCCTGCATCTGTTAATTATCTGTATAGTTCTAACCAAATATTCAGAAGCTGTATCCCCTTCACTGAAGTAACATATTTCCTTAACTGATCTAAGCAATCTTTTTTCGACAAAGTTATTCAGATACTTGTTTCAATTCAGTCAGGTCTCCATTAGACTGTATCCAAGAGCTTCTAAGCTAAATTTTAAAAAAACTTACTTGTGTATGTTTTACTGAAGCTAATAGTTTAATGTTTTCCCTCTCCTGTCACAACCCCCACTGCTGAATAAAGAAGCTTCATTGATGTTCCTGTGATCATTGGCAGTTACCTGCTGCCCAACACATACTGGTTTAAAATCATGCTCCCAGAAAGACTGACCAAATAATTTTTAAACCCGTTCACAAAGACAGACCAACACTCATATGTCACTCCTTTGAAATCCAAACTCTGTCTTTTAGCAAAAAAAACCACTTGCTTTTGGTCCCATTATCCTAACCCTGACAGTATACTTGCTGAAGAAAATGCATGGTTGACTTAGCACAGAAAATATTGCATGTGAAGTACAGTTTTTGTCTTTAGTAAACCTCACAGAATAAGCTGGCTCAATTTCCTTTGTCTCCTCTTATGGGTTTGTGCACACTGATGATTTTATTGGTATTCTGCACTACATTAGATTTAAAAACAGTTATAGTTCACCTGAGACACCAAAAATGTGCCTATGAAAAAGTCTGGGGTTTTGTAGAAGCTGCTATGTGTGATGTAATTTTAGCAGTTCATTTTGGTCTATTTGTTTCATTGTAATGTGTAGTTTTCTGCAAAACAGCAAAAAAATGTTAAAATATTGAAAGTAAATTTGGAGGAAAAAAATCTTTACTCAAAGCCTGCAAAGTAAAGTAATAGAATCTGAAGTTCAGGGAATACAAAAAATGTAGAAAATTAAGAGCAAGAATAGGGCATTCAACTGCTCATGGCTGTTCTGCCATGCAGCTAAATCATGGCTCACCTCTATCTCAACACCATTTTCCTGCACTATCTCCAGATCCTTTGATATCAGAAATCTATTGATCTTTGTTCTGAATATGTTCAATGACATACACAGCCCTCGGGGGAATTGAGTTCCAAAGACTCTCAATTCTCTGAGTGAACAAATTCTTCCTCCTCTATGTCCTCAATGGCCTATCTCTTTATTCTGTGTTCCCTGGTTCTATCCACAGGGAAAATATCCTTCTTTCATCTACTCTGTCAAGACCTTTAAGAATTTTGCATCCTTCAGTGAGATTCCCTCTCTTTTTCTAAATTTTTAGAGAATATAGGCCGAGTATCCTCAATCTCTCCTAGGACAATCCTGCCATTCTCGAGATCAGTCTGGTAAGCCTTCATTGCACTTTCTTTATGGCAAACATATCTCTCTGTGGGTAAGGAGACCACACCTGTACACAACGCTCCAGGTACACCCTCCCCAAGGCTCTATACAACTGCAGCAAGGTTTGTTTACTTTTATACTCGAATCCTCTTGCAAAAAAAAAAGTCAACGTACTATTTGCCTTCCTATTTTGTGACTGCACCTGAATGTTAGATTTCAGTGGTTGATAAACAAAAACACCAAGTCCCTTTGATTAGAAGCACTTCTAATCTCTCACCATTTAAGAAGTACTCAGCATTTCTGTATTTTCTACCAAAGTGATAGCTTTACATTTTTTCACATTATTGTCCATCTTTCATGTTCCTGCCCACTCATTAAGAATTTGTAACTCCCGTTGAAGCCTCTTTGCATCCTGCTCACAACTCACATTGCTGTCTGGTTTTGAGTCTTGAGCAAACTCAAAAATAATGTATTTGGTCCCCACATCAATATCATTGATACAAGTCATTTAATAATATCCTTCCAATAGCAGGGCAATCAGAACTGCAGACAGTACTCCAGAAGAGGCCTCACCAACGTTCTAGACAACCTCGACATGTACTCAACAGGAGTGCGTTGAGTAAGGTCTGAGCAATGAAGGCAAGCATGTTAAATACCTTGTTAATCACCCTGTCTACCAGTGATGCAAATTTTGAAGAATTATGTACCCGAACCCCTGGGTCTCTGTTCTACAACACTACCCAAATTTACCAAAAATGCTCTGAACCACGTGTCATTAGAACTTGACTAATGCCTGTATGAGTTAAATTTGCTAAACACGGTTATATAGTTGTGGTCCTCATCACTACCCTTTATCTTTGTAGACATGTGCTTGTAGGTTGTAAAGTTATTTGTTATTCAGCTGTTCAATTCTGTGTGACTGCCATATGTGGCATATGGCAATGTGTGTATGTGTATGGTAGAATAGCAGTTACGTTCCTTGAAACAAAGTCGAGTGACCCAATATAATGAGTTTAGATCTCACTACTGCAGAAGGGGAATTTAAATTTGAATGTTCAAACAAATCTGTGAAATCTCATTCTAATATTGGTGACAATTAAACAAAATTAGTTTTAAAAACCTGTCTGGTTGATAGAAGTCCTATATGGAAATTCTTGCATGGGGTTTTGCCCATATGTGACTTTAGAGCCAATAGAAATGTGATTAACTGTGAAATAACCTTGATCATGTTCAAACCATAATATAAATAAGTTTGGACATAAATGCCTGCTTAGTCAACAATGCCCACATCCCACTAATAAATAAAGGGGATGTAAACATTGGATACGAAAGGAGTTGAGTTTTGCACACTACATTAATTGGCAATTTACATTTTTTTGCTGTGGCTCAAGAACTAAATTACATGCATATAAGTTGTAAAAACGCTGTGTTTGGTTTTCATTGAAGAGTAAAATGATTCATATCTCCTGACTTCAAAGAGGCTTCCTGCCTAGTTGCTTGTTTGCAGTTGCACACCCTTGAGTCAAAAGGTTGTAGATTTAGGTGTAATAAAGAAAGCTAACACTCCATTACGGTACTGTTCATGGTATTGGTCTTTGGAGGGAATCTCAACTGAGGTCCTATTTGCCTCCTTGATGTAAAAGATCCCACAGTATTATTTGACAAGTCAAATGCTGAAAGGATGTTTCCTCACATTGGTGAATTTAGAACAAGGTTACAAGTTTCAAAGAAATGGCTTTCCCATTTCAGATGGAGTTGAAGAGGAATTTATTGTTTGAGGATTATTAGTGTTTGAAATTCTCTTTCCTTGAAAGCAGTGAAGGCTGTATCTTTGCATATATTCAAGGCTGATTAAGACAGATTGAGAAGGAAGTCCAGGGCTATGGGAAGCATGCAGAAAACTGGATATGGGACTCCAATCAATCAGCCATGATCTTATTGAATAGCAGAGCAAGCTCGAGGTGTTGAATGGCCTACTTCTGTTTCTGTTTCTTGTTCTTTCAAAGGGATTTATCTGTAGGTTCTAACCAATTTTGTTCCTCAATGAATGCTAAAACATTACCTGGTTATTATCATCTTTCTGCTTATTGGAGTTTGCTTTATTCAAATTGCCTGCTGCACATTTTACAATAAAAGATGACAACACTTGTAAATTATGACATCATTTTCTATAAAGCAGTTTAGGATGTTCAGTGGTCACTATAGGTATTAGGCAAATACAAGTCTAACTTTAATTGTTTGATTAACTTCTGACAGGTTGATTGTAGACCTGTGTTGCCATATTTGAACTGTACAATATCTCAAAAATACTGTGCACTTTGTAAAGTTTACTAGTGAACAAACTTTTAGAAATAAAGTTGTTTGATAAGTATTTGACATACTTGATATCAGGTCACTTAAAGAATCAAGTTTGCATGTTGTCCAGTAGATAAATTCCAGTCAATTAAAAGGAGGATTATTTGCCTTGAGGTATTTGAAATTGGAAGAACGGGGAAGTGAATTAGATGCTGAGTCAAGTGACTTAGCAAAAAATTAAGAAAGATGAAGCTATGTGAAATAAAAAATAAAATAGACAAGAAAATGAATCAGAAATGAAAATACTTGAACTTGACAGAGAGGAAAAGGAAAAATCAAATATGCATTGAGGGAGTATTAACAAAGGGAGAAAGTCTTTAGAGCCAGAGAAAAGGATAGAGAGAGACAGGGAGAGAATATGCTTAAGAGGTTAGAAACAGAAAATGGCCTCTTCCTCTAGAGAACATTCTAATGAGGAAGGATCAGAGTCCAATCCAAGACACACAGGTACTCCCAAAATCCCAGAAAGGGAGGTGGAAGTGATATCCAAAGGCTGAAGTGTTTTCATTGTCACAAAATGATACAACTTAGGGCAAATTGAATATGTTGAGGGATAAACCCATGGGACGTGATATACTGTGGTATATGTACCCTTATTTTTGCATTGGCTGCATCTGAATTGTGACATAATGTCTGGAATGGTACTAACAAAGATTGTCCATAGTTTACCTGTAGATAGAGTTTACTTATTCCGAGGTAACAATTTGGTAGGAACAAAAGTAGTAGCTTCTTCAGTACTAAGAGAAAGGCCAAGTGAAGTCAAGGAAAGAAAGCATGTACAGGAAAATTTTCCTCGTGTACTGGTGGAGATAAAA